AAGCTTTTGGGGTATGTCCCCTTCTTCAAGGTTCAGGCAGTACTACCAATTGTTTCTGTCGCAAGTGCACTAATACGGCTACAATCACCTCAAGCTATACTGTAAAAGAGAAAGGAACTGAGATGATTTTGCTCTGATGTCCTGATGAAGATAAGAGCTATGCTCCATGGTAGTATAAAAAATCTCACCAGTGAAACCAAGTTTTTTTCAAATCTTTTTCCCTGGGGTACAGAGAAGCTGTAAGGTTTTCCAATAGCACGAGGCTGTTGACCCAAAAGAACCAGAGCCAGAGCAGTGGAGAGTGCTGCTTCCAAAGGGCTAGGATTCACAGTTTGGCAGCAGTCACCAGGTGGATTAAAAGTGAGTTCTTGTATTGCTTGATAGAGAGATAGTTTTTATAAAGGAAAAAAGGCCACGGGAGCATTACTGAGAGGCACCTCTGCCAATTTGTGGCAAATAAATTGGATAGACAACCCGATAGAATTCTTTGAAGCAGGGGTTCCTTGAACATCTGAAAACTATTTCAAGGGTTCCTCAAGGGTAAAAAGATTGAGAAAGGCTGCTTTAAAAAAGTCCTGGCTAAGGAGTGAAATGAAAAGGTAATTTTTACCGCACATTCTGCTCTGCCCAATATCAGTAATTTGGACACAAAGTGTGGAAAGATCTTCCCAATGGGAATAAACATCATAATTATCCTGACAAAGGTTCCAGGTTTCACATGCTACTTGAAAGATGGTCCTTATTGCTGGCTATGTCCTCACTGGCTAGAATTCTTCTCACCTCCTGTACCAGACGCAGCTGTTGCCAAAGCAGAAAGTGGGGATCCAAAAGTTCACAGGTGTCACCAGAACAGGAGGTAATGTTCCCAAGACAGGAAGTGAAAGGATATATGCTCATCATGAACACAGAGATGACAACCCGAGAGGTCAGTTTACAGAGTGAGGAGGAAGTGGTTGTTCATTTTTTTAAGGGGAGTGGTTTATCCCATTCACTGCCAGAGCCATTTTTACTTTGTTTTTTTTTAAACACATGTTAAAATAATCATTTTAGGTCTGAAGTTTAGAAAAAATCTTAAACAGCATATAGTATATTTTCTAAAAGTAGAGACCCTGGAGAATAAATTGTGATATTTCCAATTTTTTTATACCACATGATATTAACATACTAGCACAACAGTTCCTCAAGCCCAAATTTTCAGTAAAAAATATACAAAGGTTAATTTTTTTGGTCTAGTAGTGCAGATTGATAGTAGGCTTGTATATTAGGCAAGCCTATACCTCCTATCTTTTTGTTAGGAAAAAAATGAAAGAAAATAATCTGACAGGTTGTTATGATCAATGCCTTTTAAAACATTATTTCAATGTTTTTTTTTTCAATTTTTAAAAAAGTACTGTGATAGATTTTACATGAGTGCATGGCTTATGAAGAGAGGAGAATTTGCTCAAAACACTGATAACTATTTCTTTGCTGCACCTATCATCAGTACACCTATTTTAGCTTGGTACACCTATGTATCTTAAATATTATTATTATATGTATTATTTTTTCCAGGTATTTGTGTTACAGAACAGTGCTCCAGTTTTGCAAGCATCTGCAGTTCCTGGATCCTATCCTACCCTACCCTCCTCAACAAACACTCCCTTGTGTGACACAAAGTGGGATGAGTGGTGGACCAACATTATCTTAAAGAGACATGACTTTCTTTTATTATTTTGCTTCACTACCCCTTCCCACCATATAAGATTTGCAATGTTCCTAGATGTTGGCCATTTGTAACACTTGTGAAAGAAATAAGATGCCATCGACTTACAGAACATACTAAGAAAATACTGGGGAAACCAGGATAATTCAAATATTGACTATAGCCTATGTTGCATTTATTTTTTGAAAATGTACATTTAACAAAAGCAATTACTTTTTTTGTGTTTTAATTTCTTATCTCTTGTTATGAATGTCTCTTTATAGTGTCATAGGCTGAGAGAGGGAGGAGTTACTGTTTTGTAGTACCCACACCTAACATTCCTCATTCTCCAGTATCCACACCCACTCCAATGACATTCCTCACTTCTCAGCATTTCCCTCCTTCCACAGACATACCTCATTCTTTAGTATACCTACACCCTCAACAAACATTCCTCACACCCCCTCCACAGACATTTCTCACTCTCTAGTGTCCACATCCCCTCCACAGACAGTCCTCACTCTACAGTGTCCACATCCCCTCCACAGACAGTCCTCGCTCTACAGTGTCCTCATCCCCTCCACAGACAGTCCTCACTCTACAGTGTCCACATCTCCTCCACAGACAGTCCTCGCTCTGCAGTGTCCACATCTCCTCCACAGACAGTCCTCACTCTACAGTGTCCACATCCTCTCCACAGACAGTCCTCACTCTGCAGTGTCCACATCCTCTCCACAGACATTCCTCACTCTACAGAGTCCATATGCCCTTCACAGACAGTCCTCACTCTACAGTTTCATATCCCCTCCACAGACATCCCTCACTCTCCAGTGTCCACATCTCCTCCACATGTAAGCCGTGTACCAGGGTGGGCTCCCCAGGATACAGTGAAGTCACAAACGAGGAAAGCAACCCCAACACCAGCTTTTGCCACAACAGAATTTTACTTAGAAGTGGCAAATAAACACAACCACAAATGCTGGAAACATACAATAAATTGACATACACCCAGTCCAAAGGCTGAGACCCTTGTGCTGCACAGCACGGCGCCTTCTAACGGATGAAGGTAGAAAGTGAAGTAATTTACCTACTGGCGGGCACAACTAAGCTGCCACACCTTACCTGTTATTACCCAAAAAAAGCAGGAATCAGTGTATGGGTGTATGGTATGGGCTAGCCTGCGGTGCAGCACAACAGCTTACAATCTTACACAAATCTACAGTATTCCCCCTCCCATAACTGGTCCTGTAGCACGTGCCTGAGTATTCCCTCTGAGCAAAATGCCAGTCTGGCTTGAGTTTGTAGGATTTTATCAGCTCTCCAATGTGAAATGTCACTTTAAGTTGTGGAGTCCTTCCAATAATCAGTAACAACACTTGTGGCCTGACACAAAAAGAGACCCTAACTAACTAACTATAGGCCTGGACTCAGTCTCTAGGCGCCAACATTGAAATGAGGTGCGTGCACGATCTTAACGACCCGGGACTGGTTTGCATCCGCTGGTGACTCTCTACAGAACAAATGTCTCTCCAACAAGCATGCGGTCTTGCCGTATATGTTGCTTATTTCCTCTGCTTTCATCAGCCTTCCTGGCAGCAATCTCATCAGCGTTCCTGGCAGCAATCTCATCAGCTTCCTGGCAGCAATCTCTGGTTACTGAGGGACACTTCCACACCTGGATGTCATCAGATTCTCAGCGCACACGGCCCCTTATTCACCATGCTCCAAAACATGGCTTCTCTCTCTCCTTCCTGTTCTCTCCAACCCTGTGTGCAAAAGCCCACCTCTTCATGAATATACAAATATCTATGCAGTCTGAGGCTGTGTTAGAAAAACAGTGACATCTTGTGGCTAAACCACAGAATGTCAGTCAGAACATTAATTTACTTCCACACAAACAGTGTTCAAACAATGAGAGCTGTTTCCCCATCTCACACACAGACAGTCATCACATTGCAATGTCCACATATCCTCCACAGACAGTCCGCACTCTACAGTGTCCACATCCCCTCTACAGACAGTCTACAGTGTCCACACCCCCTCTACAGACAGTCCTTACTCTACAGTGTCCACACCCCCTCTACAGACAGTCCTCACTCTCCAGTGTCCACATCTCCTCCACAGACAGTCCTCACCCTTCAGTTTCTACATCCCCTCCACAGACAGTCCTCACACTGCAGTGTCCACATCCCCTCCACAGACAGTCCTCACTCTCCACTGTCCACATCCCCTCCACAGACAGTCCTCACACTGCAGTGTCCATGCCCCCTCTACAGACAGTCCTCACTCTCTAATATCCACACCCATTCCAATGACATTCCTCGTTCTGCAGTGTTTTTACCCCTTTCCGAGGCATTCCTCGCCCAGTCCACAGCCATCCCACTTTTACATGTCAAAGCTGCAGAGTGAAGAATGTCTGTTGAGGAGGTGTGAGCACTACATTGTGAGGAATGTCTCTAAAAGAGTTGTGGACACTTCAGAGTAAGGAATGTCTGTGGAGGGAGTGTGAACAATGTAGAGTGAAAATGTCTGTTGATGGGCGTGATGTTGACAATGCAATGAGTCATAACAGAAGACAGAAGGCTTAACAGCTAAAGAATGGTTCATGGATGAATATCTGAAGGTGGCTATGAGGAGAGGTCGATGTTCTATACAGGTTTGGGAATACATTTCCTTAAAGTGTTACTAAACCCCTAACAGTAAAATCAGTCCGTATATGCAGTAAATCATGCTTGTTATACTCACTGTGGAACCTAAGGGGTTAATCCTCCACATTGTGTAAAAAGGATGTTTGATCCTGTCTTCTCTGATCCTCCCCTTCTTCCACAGTTCCCGATATAGCTCCTGGTAGAACAGGATAGAACAGAGCCTTGGGGGCAAGCTGCACATGCTCAGTTTGGTGTATATTGCTAAAAGTTTTTTTTTTTCTTGGGAGAGTGCATGTGATCAGCACAGGGCCAATCAGTACTGTCCAGACAGAGGGTCAGGGGTCCTGAAGCCTCATAGGACAATCAACGGAGAATGAAAACTGCTCCTACAAGCCTTAACCAGTGCTCTGGTGGACACTGGTAGAAGTCACAAGTCTGTTCTTACTGCTGATGAGAAAAGGTATTTAGCAGTTTATATATTTATAAAATATTTGCATTTCCATGTTCTGTGGACTGTGGGAGACCAGATATAGTAAATGCAGGGTCCGGGGAGACCAGATATAGTGACTGCAATGTCCTGGGAGACCAGATATAGTGAATGCAGGGCCCGGGGAGACCAGATATAGTGAATGCAGGGTCCGGGAGACCAGATATAGTGAATGCAGGGTCCGGGGAGACCAGATATAGTGAATGCAGGGTCCGGAGAGACCAGATGTAGAGAATGCAGGGTCCGGGGAGACCAGATATAGTGAATGCAAGGTCCGGGGAGAGCATATATAGTGAATGCAGGGTCCGGGGAGACGGATATAATGAATGCAGGGTCCTGGGAGACCAGATATAATGAATGCAGAGTCCGGGGAGACCGGATATAATGAATGCAGGGTCCTGGGAGACCAGATATAGTGAATGCAGGGTCCGGGAGACCAGATATAATGAATGCAGGGTCCTGGGAGACCAGATATAGTGAATGCAGGGTCCTGAAAGACCGGATATAATGAATGCAGGGTCCTGGGAGACCAGATATAGTGAATGCAGGGTCATGGGTTTAGTAACACTTTAAGGCTTAAAGTGATTCTAAGGGTTTTTTTTTTAAAAGAAAATATAACAAACATGGCTATACTTACCTTCTGTCTGCAGTGGTTTTACAAATAGCAGCCTGGATCCTCCTTGGGTCCCCCGCCAGTGCTCCTGGCCCCTCCCTCCTGTTAGGTGCTCCCACATCAAGCTGCTTGCTACGGGGGCACCTGCTGCTCCATGTGTCCATTCACACACGGAGCCGTAGCTCGGCCTCACCCTCCTTTCTTCTCATTGGCTGACTGTGTTTGACAGCAGACAGCTTCTGTCTCAGCTAATGAGAAGATGGAGTCCCGGGATAGCCGAGACTATAGTGCACAAGAAGAATAGAATGCATAAAGGTAAAAAACCTTGAGCCTTTACAAACACTTTAGGTGGAACTGTTCCAACCAGAAATATTTTAAATGGGAGGCGGATGCTTGAAAAGAGATCGCTGGCCCAAGGATATGCCCATAAGACTCTAAAGAAGGCATTCCACTGGGCAAATCAACAATCTCGTAGCGATTTGATTTTTCAAAATTCAAATCATAAACAAGATCCTGATGTTACCACAAAATGTATTACACAATATAATATGCAGCAAAACCAAAATACTTGTAATGAATAAGTACTGGTACCTTTTGAAGGCTGACCCTGTGGAGGCCTCCTTTGTCAAAGACAAGGTGGAAATTGTGTATCATAGGAATCAATCAATTTGGGACACCTGTATTACATTTTAGTCATTTCAGCAGAACTAGTACACAAAGCCCATGTCGACGAAAATTGGGTACTTTCATTTGTGGAAATTGCTTTTATGGCCAATATAGAGTATCTCCCAAGGCAGGCGTCATCACCTGCCTAATGGGATAATATATCAAGCTAAACATTAAGTAAATTGCCAGATGGAGGGAATTGTATATATGATGTTCTGCACCTGTCGTAGTATTTATACAGGTATCAAAACTAAACATAAATTTTATAAGAGAAAATTTATGATCATGTAACGCCATCAAAAAGGAAGCTAAATGGATACATCAGCAAGCAGCAACTCAATCTCCAGGTCTGAATGATGCTCTGGGTTTTAACCCATTTCCTATATAAGTCTTGTTTTTTTTACATGTATGATAGTACTTGATGTGTATTATGGTTTGACCTGTGTGATTTGATGGTTATCTGCCTTTTCTGTACCTTACTTGGTTCATGTACAATATGGAGTTGTAAAGTCTATGATAGACTGTAGTCTGTACTTACTATTTATCTTATTTTTTGGTTGCATCATTATTTATTAATATTAAACAACACCAACACTATATTTCTGTAACCGCTAATTACCCAGCCACATGACCTACATAAACATGTAAACATATTGTATACTTTTTTCTTCACTAATGATTTTGTATTATGGTTATATTTACAAAATAAAATTTGGAAAAAAAAATCAACCACATGTAATATAAACCATGGTTAAGAGCGTGTATGTCTTTTGAAAAATGTAAAATGCATTGTTATATGTAAAGAAAACAATTTTTGGTGTAGGTGTACTCCATAAAGCATCTGTGTGTTGGGGGTTGGGGGTATGAGCCGCAGCCATGAGATGGGGAATGTGAGCCTTTATTTCAGTTATGGCATAGGCAGCTTGTAAGTGGTCTTTACACATGAAAAAAAAATTTGCCTGGAAGATGGCCTTTACATTGCTTGCTCTATCACGTATACTCAAAATGGCCACTATGCAATGCCCTTGTGACATCATGCCACGTGATGACATCACCACACATGCACAGAATGTACAGGATGCCGTTTTTGGTGCCATGTGGAGGTATAAAGCCAGCACAGCCATCTTATATCTGCTGGCTGTCTGGAGAGTATTGAATGAGCTATGAACATCTATGCCCTCAAAAGGGAAACCACATGGAGCCAACTTACTTGTCTTTAGCCTTTTTGGATCCACCAACCACTTCCTTAACTTTTTGAAGGTATATATCTTTCACTTTGTCTTTTTTTTTTGGTCTTATTAATAATTTTTTCTGTGAACCCAGTCCCTGTTGGCTTCAATAGATACAAATGGTTGCCTGTTTCCCCAATTTTGTCATTTAATATTGAGTTTGTGATATCAAACATAAGCTAGTTTGGGGGAGTAGGGGTGTAGTTTGTAAATGTTCCTTTCCACACAATTAGATGATAGGTACGATATCCTGGGGATGGAAGTCATGGAAATATAGTATATTTTATCACACCTTGGACCTAGGTGTTAAAAAAGTTAGTTACATTCCTGGAACTATAAGAGGGCAAGAGATTGAATTTATATGAAGATCCTTACTGTATATCTATACCTTCTTTTCCTTTTTCTTAAAGCTGCATATACAGTACCATCTGTTTCCTTTTAAACGTATATTTAAAAATGTATATTTTTAAATGGTTTCCCCCATCATATAGTGGCAGTAGTTTTGACCGTATGGCCCAGACTGTTTTGTGATTATGCATTCATGATAGCTAATATTGCCAATGGTGTTATCATGATATACAGTGTGTACATTTAAGTGAAAACTTTTTCCTGTCTATGGATACATTGATGTTGTAATTTTCTGATTTTGTATTTTGTTTATAATTTGCAGAATCCCTGAGGAAGCGGGCAATGTCTCTGCAAAATGCGTTGGAGATACCTGCATGAATAGGATCATCTGGGTTTATACCTATTTGCTAAATTTTAATTACATTTACTGCATTTTCATGTAATACCTATGCTGTTGGAATGCTACTCTTTTAAAATATAATCTCTTTTAAAAGTTTTGTACAATAAACAATTCTTTTTTTTTACAATTTGGTGTGGTACCTTAAAAGTCCTAGTATTATTTGGTAGGGTTTTCTTGGATTTGTTATTGTGATTGACATTGGACCTACAAGGCGGCACAGTGTTTTTTTTAATAGGACTTTGTTATGGTGTGTGTTTATTTACTTTGTCTTTGTGGGAATGAGTAACAAGGGGTACTATAGGAGGCAAATATCTGTGGACCCACCTATTCTAAACAGGGATTCTACTTTTTGACAAGCACCCCTTTCCAAAGTTCCACAGACTCACTGGTCCAGGAATGTGGGAATGAGGCTATGGCACCATCCCAATGTTGATGGCATGTCGCTTGCTTTAGTTCAGGATGAGGGAGTGCACACTCATTTCTCCTCCTTTTTCTGGCCAGCTAAATAATGGTGCGTTTCCCTACGCACAATCTGGCCAATTGATGAATCTAAATATATAACCTTTATTCAAATATATATATAAAAAATGTATGTTCTGCTGCAATTAATGCCTGTTGGAGTGGAATGTACTGCGCACAACAATATAACTGAATACCACTGCAATTGTTTACCTTACATCCAAATGGTTGATAACACCAGACCAAAATCAAATACCATACTGTTTTAGATGAAGTGATGGCATACAAGGAGGTACTGTAGTTTAATCATAAGCCTATAAGCTTGAATATATAATCTCTGTTAAGGAAATGGAGTTACCCCATGGACAAACTAATTGAATAGTATAATCTATCTTGCTACAGATATGTACTAAGGGTAGACTCATCCACGGCCTTAAAAGTCAGCCTCTCATGGGAAAAGCCCCAAACGTCACCATATCCACCAAAAATACCTCACTGTCTTGAGGAATGCAAAGGATGCACTTTAAAAATGCAGTACAGACCTCTCCCAAAAAAAAAAAGGTTTTTCGAGACCACCTAGAGGAAATCGTGCAAATTGTTTAGGTTATCTCACCCAGCAATTGAGAAATCAGGAGGAGTGGGGATATACAGGTGCCAAGCGAGGGAAGAAATAACAGGCCCTGCCGACACGAATATGACCCAAGAAGATGATTTGCAAGTATTGAATCGATCTAAGATGTCATTAACAATTGACCATCTAACAGACTTTAACCTATTTGAATGGGTTAACGATATACATTTGTTTTCCAGGAAACTTGATTTAAATAAGTAATATAAGGACAAACCATCTAATACTCCGATGGGTCTGACATCTAGAGATATGGAAGCTCTAAGTGTATTGGAATCATTACAAGCTGAAAATAACAGTGGTGATGCTGAAATACGGGGCCCTTTTACCACATTCAAACCAAGGAATAACTATACCCCACCTTTCCCTCAGGGGAGAAGCATCCGACTGTTTGTAAAATTGGTTGAGAGAGATTTGAATGATTTATGGTTAAGAAGGCAGAGGAAAAATAAATCAAATAATATGACTTAATTTGAATGGAAGGCATTGGAAGATCTGCATAGTAATAAAGAAGTAGTTATAAAGGCAGCTGACAAAGGGGGAAATATAGTCTTGATGAACAGAGCATTTTATTTGAAAATGTGTTATGAGTTATTAAGCAATGAGGACAACTATGAAATACTTCAGAATGACCCAACCCCCAAATATTTTTGAACTCTATTTTGAAAAGGGCTGTTTAAGAGGTGATCCTCTCCAAAGATGAAGGTGCCTTTATTATGAATGCACATACAACTATTGCAACTTTTAATGCCTTACCCAAGTTACATAAACACAAAGGAAAACTCCTTGGCCGCCCTATCATATTGGGCAATAAAAATCTCACAGAAGGAGCAAGCAAATATCTAGATTATATCATGCATCCATTTGTATATAGTTTACCTTCATATATCGAAGATACACAAGACTTTGTAAACAGACTAATAGATATCACAATGGAAGATGATGTGTGGTTAGCTAGTCTAGATGTGGAGGCTTTATATAGTAATATTAGTCATGACTTGGGCCTAAAAGCCTGTAAATCCTTTGAGAACCATACCACATTCACTCTCCAAATTTTGCATTTTGTATTTGAACATAATTTTTTTCCTATTTGATGGCAAAGTATATAGACAGCGTACAGGTACTGCGATGGGTTTATTGCGTGCACCTACGTATGCAAATCTATTTCTTGGGTAGTGGGAGTGTACTATGGTCTTTGTATCGGAATT